CACACACACACACATACAAACATGTGCACACACAGACATTCTCGCACATGCATACATGTACACAAATGTGCACACACATACACACAGAGGTGCCTTATCTTTTGTAACCATTGGGGGGTTTTACAATGGGAGGTGCTTCTGTGTACTGTAACTGTTTTCAATAAAAGGCGGCAAGCGGAGGCCTAAGGTGGGGTCAGTCTGCGGTTGGATTCAGAGCGCTTTTCTGAGACACCGACCGGGGCCTCCCTTGCTAGCAAGTAAAATCGATCGATCGCTGATTGTCCAGTTTCTTTCGTTAACGAGAATAAGTTTCTAAACCAGCGGGGCCTGTGGAAGCACAGACCCAACATCAACTTTCACCAAACACTATTTTAGTACCTGTCCTTCTACCTAAGTGATTGTGATTGATCAGAATACTATATGAATGACTCAGTTGGACTGAATTCATGGAGCCAAACATCATATCCATGTTGGACACTAAGACAATTCACTGGCCTACAATGTGTAACATGCAGATGGTTTTGAATAGAACAAATGTAAAAGGAGTTGTTGTACATGTACAGACCACAAATATGGATTTCAACTGTATTTTATGCTGCTGGGCAGACTGACCACGGGGAACCTCCAGGAACTCCTGGCCCACACTGTGGAGGAATCATGAAAAATCTGTTTACATAATCTCTCCATATTTATTAGCTTTTTCAAAAATATTTTTAGCACAGTTTTTTGTGAAGTCAGAAGTTAATCAAACGCAACATGTAATAAAAATAAAACATTTTTTTCTGACCGGGAATGCAAGTCAATAACTAATAAAATAATTTGTACATATTTTTTTTTTACTATCTTTTTGTTTTTAAGTTTTTTTTCTGCTTTTTTGCTAAACAGTAAATTTCAAAATTCATGGTTGATAAGAACAACTATATTTTAGCATGAAAAATATTTTGATAAAAGAACTTTATAGAACCATAAAACCATCATCAATTTAGGGCAGCTGTGGCAAAAACACTTACATTGGGTGGTGGTCCACTAAATTTGTTAGTCACTGTGCATCATTTGGTTCTGTTTCTCCAGGAAACTTATTTTAGGCAATAGAGAGATTGTTTTTTCTACAAATGGTACATGGTTTTTGTTTTCGCTACTATAAGATCAATGTTGGGGAGGAACGGAATACATGTACCGGTGTTCTGGGAATCTATCCTACCTCACAAACCATCCTACCTGTTGTTTCTGTGCAAACGCTGTGTATGGGCATAACACAAACCCCTAATTTACATAATTTTTTTTAACCCATTGTGAATATTTCTTATGGTTATGGTTAGGTTTATGGTTAGGATTAGAGGTTGGATTAGTCAGAAGTTGCTGGCAAATTATAATACGGGTAGGACAATTTGCCAAAGTAGGACTGTTTCTCAGAACACCGGTGTTACATATTTAAAATGCAAAATATGAGTAACTGTATTCCATTACATTTACCGGTTAAAAAAGGTGATATTCAGAATACAGTTACTTTGTTGAAATAAATAGATTACACGTCTTTTCCTGTTTCATATCTTATGCTATGCCCTCTCTAAGTTTTCGGTAATTCCACGCCAGTGGAAACCCAAACAAAACACACATTAACAGTCTCTAATGCCTGTGTCTCAATCTTGCGGTCCATAATGAGGTGAAGAAATATTTTTAAAAATTATTATTCAAAAATTATTTAATATGAAGGCAATAGGCAGAGTGTTACAGGCATAGCCCTAAAGAATGTGGCCTCATGGGCAGTGTAGTCTGTGCTGCAGCGAGAATGGACTGCCATACCCGTTATGTGTCTGTGAGCGTGAGGGAGGGAGAAAAAGGAGCATCGAAAAGTATGTGCTGTCACAGGCCAGAAATGGGAGATGGAGGCATGTACAATAATAATACACACTGCAGCCAAAAATAGTGCCTGCCTGTAATCTGTTGTGGAATACATTTTAAAAGTAACCTTCCCAACACTGAATAAGATATAACAACCACCGGCTATCAGTCCTGGCGATGGGTTTTGCCAGGGCCTCTGCCCTTGACTGCTGCCCGCTATACATTGCACCAGACCTCTATGACACCTCCTGTGGGTGGTGGGCCTACTAGAGGTGTTGTAGGGATCCAGCCAAGTCCTACAGGGAGGAAGTCCTGAGGTAGACCCAGGACACGCTACAGAGATTATCTCTCTTAGCTGGCTGAGCGATATAATTCCTGATAAACTGGAGGAGGTGGCTGGGCAGTGTGATGTCTAGGTTTCTCAACTTAGGCTATTACCTTCATGACCTACCCCCAGGTAACTGAAGAAAATGGATGGATGGATATAACAATAATCCTCCCTAAAGACAAACTTCCCAAAAAGACATCAAAAAGTGCTCAGGAAATCATCATGGATGCACAGTGTTTGAACCAAAAGACAAAGGTGACATCCACTGGTCAAACCGGAGTCCCACTCCTACTCTTTCACTGCTGCATTTCTCCTCCAGGTGTCTAATTTCCTTGATTAAGGATTAACTAAATGCTGAGATATGCTGAGTTTTCAGCTCAAAGTTTTCTTGGGAATCACCTTGATTTGATTTGATTGAATCTTTATTTTGAACATGTTGAAAAAGTACAACATAATAGAATTAAAAGAGACAAATGAACACCTTGTTGGTGCAAAAGTAATATTTATGTCTGTCAAACTGTGTTATCAGTTGGTGCATTTACTACAGATTTGACAAAAGAAATGGAAATAAATGACATGTTTTTGCCACAGACTTTTTTTTTTCTACTAAACTGTCTGCTATTTGTAGACAAAACACGGGTTCACTCTTAGATGCCTTTTTAATGCTTAAGTCATTTATAGGTCAGTTTTTAACTAAATTAACAAACTAAAAGGAAAAAGATCAGGTGAAAATTAACCCTGTACAAAGAGTCTGTAGAAATAACATATATTAAGAAATGAGGAGTGGCGTTCAAACTTTTGCACAGTGTTGTAGACGGGAAAAATAGTGTGCTGGATGCATCAGTTACATTTAGACAGACAGATTACCTCACTGCAGGAGAACGTTGTCCGTTAAAATGAACCTCAAAATCCTTTGAGCTGTTGCTCATTAAAGATGAACAGGTTGGTTCAGGTCCACATTTGATTTTCTGATGGATTCTGAAAAAATATTAAAACTTCTTCATTAAAAATGTCACTGCACACGAATGGATGATAAAACAATTTTGATAGTTATATTAATTACATTTTATCATTTGACTGTCTTTGTTTAAATTTTGTAATGAGACCCTTGGACCGGTCGCTCTTTAAGGATGGACAGCTGGGTTCAGGTCCAGGTTGGTTCCTGTGAATAATGATGGAGCAGTGATGTGAGTGCTGAGCTGTGACATGAAGAAGAGTCGTGGACAGTTAGAGATGGTCATCTCACCTCTGAGCTGTGGTCTGGCTCTCATGTTCCCCACACAGAGTGGTTTTAGAGGGAGGGACTCCCTCCTCTCTGTCCTCACACTGATCCATGCTGCTGAATTCACATCCACATCAGCTCACACACACTTTCTACCTTCACCTGCAGAGGAAACACAAATCATTCATGTGCACATCAACTGAAATCCTTTCCATCATGTGTGCTGTCCATTTATCAGCTGCTTCTTTTCTGCTTCATCTCAGTCTCAGCTGAATGCAGTCAGACAGCAGTGTGAGGCAGATTAAGCTGCCATTAGCGGCTCTACTTCTACTATCAGTCCGCTAGATGGAGGCATGAAACACACACAATGCATTCACTAACACATTCGCAGATGTGATTTGTTTTCAGTCCATTAATATTCAGTTAAAGTTGTTCAAACACGGCTCGAATCACAGAAACAGATGGAGACACGGGGGAACATCATGTGACAGAGTTTAGTTTTCTTCTTCAAACAGGTTTAACAGGAGTTTTGAATGATTTGGGATGTTAAGTACTGCATAGTCATCAGTTATTGCAGACCTTCCTAAAGTGTGGGGCCCGCCCCTAGAGGGGGCGCAGAGCCATGGGGGGGGGGGG